AGCAGCCTCTTGGTGCTACTTTTAACACAATTTCATCTTTTCATTCAAGGCAAAAGATCAAGACTTGCTTTATTACAAGTTTATGCAATTTCTCCAATTTTATTAGTATCCCATTTCTGCCCCCCACCCAGACAAATTCTTTTATCACCTGGCAAGGGGTTGATTATATTTTGGATAGCATATCTTAAACCCTTAATATGTTAGAGGCTATTATATAATGGCAAGCTTTTTCCTCTTTATTTAAATTCTTTTCTGTTATTTCATAAAAATTATTTGTGTTTACAGCTGAGAAAATGGAATGAGCGTTGGATAATCTTGGACCCAACAACAGGGAGGATGGAGTATAAGTATGCTATCTATATCGGTTATTCCTTTTGAGTTCTCATTTTGTTGGGGAGACACTTTGGCTGATAATCTTCTGTTATTTTTCTTCATGTAGAACAAGGAGGAATGAAGCAACTATAAAGGGGACAATAATATTTGATGCAAATAGCACAATTACTGTATCTCCTGTTAATTTCCAGTAAGAATGGTGTTGCCAAGAAAGCCTGTTATGATTAATTTCCTTTTACAAATTTCCAATAAATGAAGCTGATCGTTATGTTCATTATAATTGAATTGCCATCTTTCTATGTATTTCAGTGGACTGCCAAAGTATGATGGATGCTGTATTTGTATCCTAGCTTGTCTATTTCCCCCCTTATTTTTAGCACTTTTGATTCATTAATTTGTAGGTTCTATTGAAGACTATTCTGCTTGCATTTATCTTAACTTTCTTCTTTAGATATTGGGACACCGCAGAAAAATGATTACTTCCTTTGTGCGGAGACCCCTGGTGCGGCCAGAGCTTGGGTTTCAACTTTACAGTAAGTTTGCTAGCTCCACTTGCTTTTGTTTTCCCTTTTTCTCATATTGCTTTTTGGGCCGCAAACCAATATTAACATCTATTGAATATAATAATAATTGAGTCTAATGTTTAGTTGTTTTAAACAACAACAAGCATTATCTCACTAAGTAAAATTAGCGACATAGATTGTGTGATGTCATTGGGTTCTATCAAGAATTAATTGTTCAGAAATATCATTTATCATGAGACCTTGTTCTATAACTTCCTGAAGTGTTCTTGTTAGTCTCTCTCTACATTTTTTCATGAGACTAAAGTCCATTTGCTCAACTCCTCGTTGGTGCCTCTAGCAACTTTTTTTACACGTCTACACAACCTTTATCAATTTTCTACTATTTTCTTTTCAACAAGTGTTATGCCAATTTTTCCTCTTATATAATCATTTTGGGTCCCACGTAGTGGGATGAAGGCTTGTTGTTTTTTTTATAATCATTTTGGGTCTTTTCATTTCTTATATTACCATGCATCCATCTTAACACTCATCTTTGCCGCGCCTACTTTTTGTTGTTGTTATCATGTACTTATCTGAAGGCATTTTGCTCTCCTCTTATCTAAATTGCATTGAAATTAAGAAAATAATGGTTTAATGAAGTCTCTTTTGGCAATGATATTGGTGATAGATTCAGGCATCTAACAAGTTTTTAGACGACAGTCCTTAATTGTAAATTTGAAGAGATTTAAGTGGTCATGAAAGTGGCACAGACCGCATGAAGGGGTAGTAATGTTAAACTGACATTGAAATGTTTAGAAATGTCCATTGGGAGCTAAGCTTGAGTGGACTGGGAGTTTTTGCTTTGGGGAGGATGTCTTGGGTCATCCTTCCCTCTCAGCCTCTGAGTTTATGTAGTAGAAATCTTGTCAATGGTTTGTTTTCCTCCTCCTCCTCCTTTTTTCTTTTCTTTTTTTAGGGGAGGGGGGAGCTAAAGCAATGTGATGTTTTTTGTCTCTTTTTTCTGGTAAAAGCGATAATTAATCTGCAATGTTTGTTTCATTGTTCTTCTTTTTCTATTCGGTGATCTAGCATTTTGATATAATGGATTGACTTGTATTATCTTAAGGTTTACACCTGTCCTAGGTTTTGTTGTATAACTTGCTGTAATTATACATTGATCTAACTCTTATATATTTCACCATTGGACAACTAGTGCAACTCAGTTGGTTCTAAAAGCCCATAAGGAGGCTGTGAATTCCTTAAGTGGCAATGGTTCTGCAAAATTAGGAACTGTTGCAACAGTTGTTGCTGCAGCCAATTCAACAGCCGTGGAGAGTTCTAAAGAAATTGAAGCAGCAATGCAGGTTTCCCTGCGAAATGCTCTGGGAATGATAGCAAACAAGACTCCTGATGGTCCTTTGGATGATATAACAATTATGAAGGTACAATCTAGTCCTGTTATCTTCTATCTCTGTGTTCTGATGGATCGTTTAGCATTCAGGATGCTTTCTCAAACTATATTCCCACTCATGCCCCGATTTCTAGCCTCTGCACTTCTCTTGCCTTTTATGGTTGTCTATCATACCGGATTTGGTTCTGATAGTGGAACCTTTTATCCAGGAAACACTGAGAGTTAAGGATGAGGAGCTACAGAATTTGGCTCGAGACCTTCGTGCTCGTGATTCAACAATTAATGATATAGCGGAGAAACTGTCTGAGACTGCTGAAGCTGCCGAGGCAGCAGCATCAGCTGCTTATACTATGGATGAACAACGGAGAATTACATATGCTGAAATTGAGCGCTTGAAAAAGGATTCAGAGAAGCAGCAGGAGTTGTCTGCACAGAAGGTATGTCACTATTCTGAAGCGATTGAAGGATGAATATTGGCCAAAAAAAAAAAAAAGTTTGAAAGATGAACCATGAAATCCAAGCTGTAGCTTTGGGTATAACTTGCAGTGACATAGTCTTATGTGTTCATTTTGTCTTCAATTCTTTTTGTAGCTGAAAGAGTCTGAAGAAAAGATTATGAGCTTAAGTAAAGAAAAAGAGCAATTAATCAAACAGAGAGATGCTGCTATTCAGGAAGCCAACATGTGGCGCTCTGAGCTGGCGAAAGCTCGAGAGCATGATGTGATCTTAGAAGCTTCTGTTGTAAGGGCAGAAGAGAAGGTTCGGGTTGCAGAGTCAAATGCCGAAGCTAGGATAAAGGAGGCTGTGCAGAGAGAATCAGAAGCCTTAAAAGAAAAGCAGGAGCTTCTTGCATATGTGAACATGTTAAAAGCACAACTTCAAAGGTTCGATATCTTATAGTCTTTGGCACTTGCTTGTACTTTCCTTAGCTAGGTTTAGTTTGGCTCGTGAATTACAGCTATGGGCTACTACTACCCTTTCTGAGGTGAGTTAATTATCCAAACTTGAAGTGGAAACTGTATGTCAAGCTTACAATGAGAGCCCATTTGGTACATAAAAACAAGAATAAATAAGTAATGAAATGAAAAAATAATATTAAGGATAGAAAACAAATATCTTTGTTTATGAAAAGTTGTTAAAAAAAAAAAGAGGATAAACAACAAGAAGTCTTATTTCCCTAGTTGAGGGTCAGCTACATGGATTACACAATGTTATTGTGATTTATTAACAACCAAACCATTTGGTATATTATTGACCAAATGGATAAACATTGTCAGATAATTATCATGAGAATATAATGAATATGAAGATTCATTTTCCTGCAACATACCAAATGGCCTGAGTAAAACTGGGACCCTAGATAGAATTTTTATTTATTTTGTCATACTGTCATCTGTAGATTCATTGAGTTAGGGTATCTAATCTATGCATATCAGCTGAGAAATGCAGAATTGTCTTGAAAATAGGGAGAATTCTGGTTGTTGTGCCTAATGCTAATTTAGCAGATAATTTTTGTTGTTAACAGACAACACATTGATACGACTCAAGTTTTTGAGAAGACAGAGTCTTGCTCGGATATGAAGCATGTTGACCAGACACAGGAGAATGTGGATAAAGCATGCTTAAGCGTTTCAAGAGCAGTTCCTGGCCCTGCAGAGAGTGTAGTCCACATGGCAACAGATCAGGTGAATGTCCGACCAGTCGGAGGCAATGAATGGAGTGATATTCAGGCAACCGAGGCGAGGGTAGCCGATGTAGGGAAGTATCATCTGAAGCCATAGGAAACAGCCTGGATATTCCGGTGGTTAGCCAACCCCGCTCTGATCATCATGATCAAGGGTCAAACTCTTTCCGTCAGCCCTGATCACGAGTCTTAGCCATGTAGAATTTTTCTCCAGCGGGGAATGTAATTATACCATTTTTTTTTATGAATGTAAGCTAATTTGATTTCATTTTACTTGTTCCTTAATCAAATCTGTGTTATGGCCTGCCCTGATGAAGGGTATCTTTTCTGCTATACAATGAGCTGGCCAGTTGTAAACTAGAGATGTGTAAAGTTTGATCCAACTCAGAGCAAGTTCATTTCTAGAGGCTTGCGGGGAACTAAATAATCAATTATCATGATGTGTGATTGGATGTAATGTTTGATTAGTGGCAATAAAAGGAAGAAAAAACTTGGTCATTGTAAGGGTGACTCAAATATAAAAGCATTTGTTTTGTGCGCTAGGGTTTGTGTATGCAGGATTATTGGGAATTGCAGCATTACATGTGGATTTTGTTTTGAAAACACGGGTTATGTTTGGAAACCTATTGAAAATGAGTTTTTATCACTTTTTTTGACTGCTGGTGTCCTCATATTAGAAATAATCAATATTGTTCAAGAGACATAATTAGACATTAAATGTGAGTATTTTTTTTTTAGTGAGAATTCAAATTTTAGTTTACTGTGTTGTGAGTGTTCAATCCCTTTATAGGGTAAATTTTAAATAAAAAGATTAAAAAAATAAATATTTTTGGAGATTAACATTGAAATTTAAAAGTTATAGAAGCTTTAAAAACTGTCATTATATTACTTAAAATCATAACTTGCATCTGAACGTATACGTGGATGTGGATTCGTGTTTCCCGCAGTTCCTGTTTATGGTCATGTACAACCTCCCTAAATTGAGTATCAACGAAGAGGAATTAAAAGGGAAAAAAAAAAAAAACCGAAGACATGCATTAAACATATATGAAAAAGAACAGTCAGATAGTGAAAGACACAAATAATAAGTAATAATGCCAAAACAATAAGCCTGAGAATAATTACTACAATACATTCTGTCAGAGTTTCTCACTTCAACCCTAGAAAAGTAGGGTAGGAGATACAGGCATGCATATTTCTATATCTGGTGTAATGGTTTAAATGTTAAAAAAAATGAACAGATCAAGTTACGTACTAAAAGAGATAAATATGTCAAAGGTAAGTTCTGCTAATGTGTGTGTGTGTGTTGACTAAATTACCATGATCCCGATTAACCTTTCCAAATGATCCTCTAAGGTATATATTATCTTCTTAAAAGGGTTACACTCCAGACTTCAGAGGATCAGAGTGAAAAACTAATAATATTTCAAGAGCAAAAACAGTAATTTACTCAAAAGATTGTAACACAGATCTTTTGTGTCTAGGTATGAATTTAGTGCAATCTATAGGTTTTCAGTAGAGTCTTGTTGGAAAAAAGATTTTTGACTATTCATTATTTTGATTCGCTGCCGATTGTCATATGTCATGCCATCTCATAATTCTGAAGCCTTAAATCAGATGACATAACATATAACATGTGACATTATCAAAACAAATAAAAGATCAAGATTTTCTCAACAGGATTGAACTAAAAACCAGACCATAGAGACTACACTAAATCCACATCAGATCTTGTACAATCATAAAACAGTGGAATGATTATGATCAGCAGCAAACTGAACAACAGATCTGAGTTCATCCCAGTTACCATTGGCAAGCACATCTTCCACATTCTGATGATTCAAAAAGCTGTGATTATAATTATAACTATTATTCACCATTGATGATGATGGAGCTTGATGATGATGATGATGGCCAGCAAACTGACCCAGAAAAAAGTGGCTTCTTTCTTCATCAAGAACTGATGATGGTAATTTTGTTTCACGATGATGATGAGGAATAATGATAGAGTCTGATGATGATGATGGTGACCTGAAACAAGTGGAGCTATATGGCTTGGTGATGTTGTATTTGTCAAATTCTAATGTTTTAGAATTGCTTGAATCTGTATCTGTTGAGTGGTGATAATTTTTTCTAGTGGCGGATCCTGCTGTGGCTGTATCTTTGGAAGTTGGTGTGTATTTTCTGTACGATGGGATTCGTTTGAATATTCTACAAAGTGTCCACACTTCCTGCAAAACAATAACCAAAAATAAATGTTCATACTCTAAAATGATTATTTGTTTATAGAGTAAACGAGTGGACAAAAATAAGGGGAAGACACCACAACTCAGTTCAAAACCTTAAAGCTTAAATTTATGGATACTTCATTTTTATTGTATTAGTTGTTAAACTTGACTTATTCAATGTGGGATTTGCTATATCAGTTCAAGTTCACTCACTACTAGAAATAAAAGAAATGTCACATCTAAAAATTAAAAAAAATAATTCATAAATATATAAAGATTGGGATGTATCTAATTAAATGGCTTAAACTATTTTAGTAAAACAGATTATCCTAAAACATACTTAATGTAAAGAATTTAACACTCACACTTGATCATATTATTCTTTATTTAGAAAAAACGTTTGTATAGATTTGGAAAACAGTAACAAAATCCTACGTAATAGTTTTAGTTTTATATGATTAATTAAATAAATTGTGTAAATTTAAAAAATGACGAGATTACCATAATTTTCACAAAACTTGATGGAAAAACCACTATAAACAAAAGTAGGCTCTCTGCATCTACAATATTCAAGCTTATAAGAAAAATTCTTTCATGGACCTGATATACCATGTTATTTGTATATTATCCAATAAAAAACATGCCACATCATATAATTGTAAATATAAATTGATTGTCATTGGTGATGGTAGAGAAAGAGAAAAAAAGAAATTAAAGAGACACTCTATTTTAAAAATAAAGTTATTAAAAATAATGACACATAAAATTTTATTTGATTAAACTAATGCAATTTTATTGAAAAGCATTCAAATAACATGATATGTTGATCCATAGATGAATTTCTCAGCTTGTAAACAATACATAGCCTTAACCACACTCTTAAAAATAATTAAGTTAATATTAATTAGAAATAGAGGGGGGGGAAGAATCAAAGGCTAATATACAATCCCAGTTAATTTCTTTTGCCCTTCTTTGAATTCCATACAATAAATGAGATCATCAACATATGCTCTCTGGTTCATAATATAAAACATTTTTTATAGGCTATTCTTCATCCAAAATGTAAGACATTTTGTAATTTAAGAAAAAAACATATTTTCATTTTTACCTGTATGTTAGTTAATATGCTCTTGGGAATTATATATGAAAATTACAAGTGTTAGTTGTGGATGAAAACGAAGCTGAACAAATAATTCCATTTTTCATAAGACTGAAGAAATAAAATTTTTTAATATGCCTTTATAAAGTATATATTTAAGGGATTGGACCATTCAAAGAAATAAAAGGGTGATGACTCTATGTGTGCTTGAAAGTTACATCCACACCAAAATCCGCTTAGAATGGGTCAATGTGAGCATTCAACAGAGTTGACTTGGTGACACAAAGCCAGAAATGCTCAAAGTGGGTGGGACAGTACTGAAAAACAAACACTAGTGACTTCAATTAATTTGAACTGCAATAAATTATAAGCCCCAAAAATCATCATTATCTCGGCGAAATTTATTGCGTTTTAAACTATAAAATCAAAACTGGTAGGTAAGCACCGACAAGGAAATTGAAGACTATTCAATTCGATATCTCTAGAAGCTATGAAAAAAAAAAATCAAATTCAAAATTCTAATGAAGACTGTGTCACATACATATTGTTATGTGCACTTCAAAACACACACACACTCCCTCTGCTTGTAAATGTAAGACAAATTTATCTAATTTCACGTATATTAAAAAATATAGTTAAATGTTTATAAAAAGAGAGAGAGAGAAATGATAGATATATCCTAATTATTGTTAAAAAATATATAATTTTCTAATTTTGTTAAACTATAATAATAAATTTCTTTCTGGAATCTCAAACCATAATAAGTAAAAAAAATAAGTAATAAAATTGGAATAAAAAATTAGTTATGTTAACTTTACCTTTTATTGTATTAAAGATAAAAAATGTTTTTAAAATTTGCAATATATTAAAGATTGAGGAGAATATATATATATATACACACACACATATATTTCAATAAAAGAGAGAATACACACACACAATACTTCCTAGTTCCTACAGTAAAGTCACTTGAATATAACGTGTTTCTTACCCAGAATCTTACCAATTGTCGTGACTTTTATTTTTGCCATATAAATGGTTCTAGATGGGCTTACTTTCAGTTATTTTATATAGATTTTCAAACACACAAATATCGTTCAAATAAGGAATTTAATTTTCTTCAAAACTCAGTGACAAGGCATTCTTGACATCGGCTTTTCTACAGTCATACGAATATATATTCCAATACAAAACAAATTGATGAAATATATGATATAGAAAGAAAATACGTTTGTGTTTAAATAGAGACTTGCCTATTTAGAAGGCTTCTGGTTAGTTAGTTTTTTTTTTTTTTTCATTTGTTTGTTTACTTGCTATTAAAAAAAATAGATCAAGAATGATATATAGCTTTTTTTACACACAACTATATTTTTTCATCTTTCTTTTAATATAAGAATGCATGAATATAAATATAAATTATTCAAGGGATTTCACCTGAAAGTACTGATATGTGTCGAAACACGCATGTATAAATTACTCAATTCAAACCACTCTAACAGGTCATACATTGCAGGCAAACACACATATTTAATATTAATTTTCTAATGTAGCCGTGTATATATATATATATATATATATAAATTATTCATGATTCACTACAGTGCTATTTTAGCTGAAGTGAAAAGAGAGTTGACTCTCACTCCCATCACAATTTATTTCCTCCTCTCTCTCCCCTTTTACTTACACACACACACACACACGGTTTTAATTAATTTTAAGCTTAATGATACAAATGCTAAAAGGTTGAATGAGCAAGGTAATGAAAGCTGTACCAGTTACTGATTTTAGAATTAATAGTCAAAATTATAATCAAATCATGATCAAATCAATCATAAATAAAATATTTTAATAAACTAGTTAGGATATTATTTTAATAATTTATTAGTTCAACCAGATAGATTGACCTAGAGTTTCTTACTATTGTGAGTAAGAAGGAAAACTAGAGAAATGCTAGTAAAAACAAAAAAACAAAAATTGTCTCTGGTACTTTAAATGAAGACTTCCATTTGTCTCTCTAGATGGAGAGAGATAGATAAAGAGGTTTTGGTTTGATGAAGCCACCAAACCTCTCATATTTCTTTTCTTCTGAAAGGTCCTAAACTTTGAATACATTTTAAGAGAATCAAAGATGAAGGAAGGGGAGATAGATTGGAGAGAATTTTCCTTAGATTGACCCTATTTGGTATATTGGACTTTAATTTGAACCCAAAGAAATAAAAATGGAATTGGAATCAAGTTTTGAATAGTTTGGTAACCATTAATTTGAATTTCTCATGGAATATCCAATTCAATCAAAATACCTAAAATCCAATTCCATCATTCTCATAATAGAATTGAGTTGATTCTAGGGAATTGTCCTCCCCACCGACTGACAAAGTTGCTATTCTTAAAATTCGTTGGGGATATTTTAGTCTATTTATATTATAAATGCATTTACAAAATTAAAAAAAATATAGGATTTCATGTCATACCAAAACATATTTTAATTTATATCCCAATTCCATTCTAAATATGATTCCGATTTCAATTCTTATTTCAATTATATCAATAGAACATCTCCATATACCAAACAAGGCTTTGGGTGCATGAAAGTGTTGGTTATTACTTAGTAAAAGAGGAAAAAAGGTAGAAATCATATACATTTCTCCTTTCTTTCTAGATCTACTTATAGAGAAAATTTATGTCTGAAAAAACACACACACTAGGATGCTAGTGCATCTCACAAGGATGAAGTATATAATCCTTGTTCTTTTCTTTTTTTTTTTTATTGTTTGTAGGTATCCTCCTATTAAAAGCAATCTTATTTAAAGTACAATTAAATATTAAAAATAGACATATTCCTCGAGTGATTCAAATATTGATTTGTCATGTTATGAGAGACTAACTCTTACCGTTAGACGCAACTCCTCTTGGTTCTCTCCCTCTCTCACTCATTAAAAGGATTATAACTCAAAGCATAACTAAATCTTGGCTGCCATGCATTGAACGGAAGTCTTAAATTACATCTGGCTATGTGATGAACGTATGGGGCATTTAATTTCTTGAATATGATTATGTATATATATATATATATATATATAAGCAAGGCAAAATAGATGACAATCTATATCATCAAAGTTATTTTAAGAGAAAATTAAAGAGGAGATCAGAGATAGACACAAAATAGTAAGCCAATTATTAATTCCTGACAGAAGAGAGGATAGGGGAAAACTTACAGCTTCTTGAAGACGATTGTTTTGATTGGTGGTGGTGGTGGTGGAAGGGTTAGTAGTAGGAGGGAGACGAAACTCGTGCATCATCCAATCAGTCTTGGTGCCTTTGCCAGCACTGCCCCTGTAGTAGACGAGGGACTTCTTGAGGCCAATGCAGTGGGTGAGGGCATTATTGTAAATGGATTTGTCAATTCCAGTGGCCTTCCAGAATCCTGACCCCGTAACCCTGTTTGGCCTGATGCTGTTCCTGTACTTCCTTCCCCTCTTGCAGAAGAAATACCATTCCTTCTCTCCCAGGCTCCCGCTCGCTTCTTCTTTTCCGTCACACCGTATCCAACCACCCAAACAAGCCCATTAATTAACATCACATTAGTTACTACTTTTCAAACTTCTCATATCAATTCTCAGTTTTATATATATGTCTCCAATATATTTAATATTATAAAATATTTTTAATTGAATTATATCTTTTAATAAATTAATTAATTTTCTTTAAAGTTATTATATACTCTCTCTGTTAAAAAATATAAGGTATTTTTAATTGAATTTCACTTCTCAATAAAGTAGTTACATACTTTCTAACTAATCTTATCTTTTCATATTTACCCCTATTAAACACCTTACAATAAATATAAATTCATTATCAATAGAGACACTTAAAAAAAAAGTAATGATTATATCTCGAAAGACTAAAAATACTTTACATTTTTGAACATCTAATTCCTCAAAAAATATTTTATATTTTTAAATAGAAGGTGCAGTCTTTTAATGTCTATCCCTATTTAGTATAGTGTATCTTATTAATTATACTTCTAATTAAGTTCATTTTTTTAAAAAATTTATTGTTCATGAAAGATTCAAAGTGTCTTATATATATTTTTTAAATGATATTTCAAAATAAATGCTTTGTAATAAAGGAAGGGAGAATACACACACCACCGTCTATGTTTAAGGGAAAGGGAGAATGATTCGTTTCAAAGCATTAAATTAATAATGACATAGTTAAATATAAAATATTTTAAAAAATAAGTTATAAATATCAGTTCATAATTATAAATATAAAATCACTGATATAATATGAGGGTTAGATTTGATATTTTATCTCTACAATTAAAATTTTTGAATTTATAATCATTTAAACTAACATTTTCACCTCACTTTTCATAAAATTTTGTTAGAGACGTAATTATTATTAACTCAATATACTGGAAAACACTCAAACACTATGAATCAGGCGATGATATTGAGTTACCTAGGGCTTCTAATTAATCAGTTTATATGTATACCTTTTAAAAAAAATTAGGGAGAATTACATTTAAGGATCTAGCAAGATTAGTATAAAATATATTATTGTTAAAACGGAAAGATAGACTTGGTTTTTTTCGTGGGGACTTGTTATTAGTCCTTTTTGCAAATAACTCTTTCAGTAAGTCCTTAAATATGATTCTCCCAAAAAAATTATATGAGAATTGATCTTATAGGAAAAAATATTACTTTAGTGTAGAGGTAAAGTAAACGATTGGGAAAAACTAAATTAGAATTTCATGCATGTGAGAAAACTTGATGGTGGTGACAGATCTTCAAAAAGTTCGGAGTTCTCTATTATAAGAATTTGATCAAAGGTTCTGTACTTCTGTATTAATCTGTTCACTTCTGAAAATTCACACACACACACACACACAAATACAAAATAATCGAAGAAAGAGATGTTACCAGGAAGATCCCAGGGATCTCGTATTTGTAATTATCAGAAACTAAAGAGTTTCAAGTTCTAACTTTCTAAGGATTTCATGCAGATCTCTCTCTCTCTCTCTCTCTCCCTCTCTCTACACACACACACACACACACACACGTACACACATGAACACGCACGCAGAACTTAAAAAAATTGGAGTAGTTGTATGGATTTATGGTGGAGATATAATTATTTCCAAGATTAGAGGGAGATAGAGAGACAGTTGAGAGAAGATTTAAATATAAGGTTTCTGCAGATTCACACACAGAAACAGAAAGAAGAAGAAGACGAAGAAGAAGAAGTTAATTACTTGGAAGATCCCAGGGATCGTATTTGTAGATATCAATGTGTTTGATGACTTGGATTCGAAGAGTCTTCTTCTCCACTTTCCTTCTGAGATAAAACCCTACCAGTTCTTCGTCTGTTGGATGGAATCTGAAACCTGGAAGCATCCCTCCCTCGCCGTCGTCATCTTCTGGTGATGATGAACTCTTGTTTTCATTCATTGTTGTTGCCTTATCAATAATACTCTTGTTGTTGTTACTTTCCTCCTCCATTTTTTTTTCTCTGTGATCGGTCTGATTCTCATATGTTCTCTCCTCTTTAAAGCCCACTTCACTCGAAAACTTTATATATAAATTGAAATTTAAAATATATCTGCGCGTCACTCCTTGACTTCTGGCAGCTCCTTCTTCACCTTCAGTCAAGTCAAACATTTCCATTGTGACATTTTCGTTTTGCTGGGACCCACATTGCTTGCGATGACCGCAAAGACGAATTTATCCCTCAGGGACCAGGAGTACCGGCAGAGTACTCCCAACCACTGTTTTAAAAGCTGTACCAGACAATGAACTGAAAAACAGTGGGTTATAGGTTTTTTTAATTTAACAAACTAGAAGAGTGATTAAATGGATAGCATAATAATTAAATATAAATAATATTTTTTTATTTCATTTATAAGTCATATTTTAAAAGATTTATGTGGTCTAATCTATAAGTCATGATATAAGTTTTTAAGCAATATTTAAAAAATATTTTTAAAATTATCCTTCATGAAAGAGAAAAAATAACATGACATCACATTTTAAATTTGTTATATAAAAGTATATTTAGAATTCTATATACTTTTATTCCTTGCATTTTTTTATATTAGTATTAATAAAATTGATAAAAATAACTTATAAAGAGGACCGTAAGAGTATTTAAATAAAAAAATATGTTAAAACAGTCTAATTGTTTCAAGTCTTGAGTTTTTTTTTTCGGCTTCAAAAATCATTTAAGTCAAAGCAGGCCAATTCGAGTCAGTTGCCAAAACAAGATAAATGGTTGAACCAAACTCCTTTCTTCTTTAGGCAACAGTTTGATTGTTTAGGTTGATCTACATTTAAAAACATTGATTCTAACTAAACTTGCTCTATTTAAAAAGAATGAAAGAAAGAAACAAAGAAATCAAACTCCAATCCGAATACAAGAGATTGTGCTATTCATACTATTTTGAGTAGGTTGATTGTCACATCTTTAGTTGAGCGATTTGTTGGCCTAATCTTTTGTTCATTATGATTTTATACAAAGAATGAAATTAAAGTTAAATCTTAAAAAAGCTAATCATATTTCTAATAAATTTTTCTTAAGAAATAAATTTTTCTTAAGAAATAGTTGCAAAAATCAAATGGAAAGTTGCAGAGAGGAATTTTATAAATTGAGAGTTGCATTTAAAATTTAAATATCTTATTTATAGTTTAGACTTTCAAATTTATAGTTGTTTAGATTAATAGTTAATTTGTAACTAATTTTTATAAAAAAAATTATCAAAGACCTCTGTGTGTGTCATTGACTGACTGGTTAATTTGAACCCAATTGTCGTGCTTCCAATTTTACACCATACCATTTTATTAATATATATTGAATTATATGATAACTAGCATATATCCGCGTGTCCCGTTTATAAGAAATAAAATGGTAGGCTACGTTTGGGTAAACAACAAGAACTTTTCAGATGTCAAATGTTATTTGAGTGATTTTTAAGTGAGTAAAATAACTTTTTAAATGTGAGTTGAGATGAAGTTTAAAAGTGAATTTGCCAACTTTATTTTTAAGTGAATTTCAAATTATAAATGGGAGTTGGGAGCATTTATGAGGAGAATAAAATTTGTACCTACTTTTTTTAATTGACCATGCTGCCCTTGCTATCCCAGATTTCAAACGTTCATTCTAATTTGCAAACAATAATAAAATTTTTAATTATTATCATTTAAGTTTAAGGATGACAAATGGAAAGGACTTTCAAGGTTTTAAAAAACAAGTTCACAATCTTATGGTGCTCTACTAGTTTTCCATTTGTGATGCAAGTTTATATAGTTGGGGCAATAATGGTTGTACATAATTTTATTAGAAGAAAATCTGTAATTGATTCTCACTTTAAGTGCTTTGAATATGAGAATATGATTAACACTCATAATGATATTAGCAAGCATGCATTTCCATTATCAATTCTAAATACAATTTCAAGTATAACTTCTAATAGAGATATAAATAGGATTCATGATTCTATTAGAAATTAGATTGTACATTGTAGATTAAATCATCAATCATGTGATTATTCAATATTAATGAATGTTGAATTATTACTTTATATTTTTTATTCTTATTATTTAACATATTAAATTTTATATTATTTTAATTATTTTAAATTTTTTAAACATTTTTAATATATTATATTTGTATAACAAATTATAAATTATTATAAATTAATATCATTTTTTATCATTATATATTTAAAAGTATATTTTAAAAGCACAAATAATTATTAATCTAAATAATTTTTAGTTTATTAAATTGACTCTTAAAAAAATATATTCAAATATAAATTTCATTACAACAATTGACTTTTATCAAGAAACTTTGAACAAATAAACTTTTAATAAATTAGAAACCAAACACACATTATGTTGATTACTTGCAAATAGTGCAGGGTTGAATCAATTTAATTATTTTAGTATTTTAAATTTAAATTTCAAAATATGCACTCTCATTAAATAAATATAAAAAAAACATTCACATGATATTTTCAGGTTTCTTAAGATATCGAGTGATAGGATAAAAAAAACTTTTTATTATCTGTTAATAAAATTTATAATAAAGAATTGAGAAATCATAATGACAAATCATCGTCATCCTCATCACCGTGGTTCTATACACTTCTTATTTAAGTGAGAATATTTATATATCTGATGTGAATTACGAATCTAAAACGTTACGTTATACACTTCTCACGTTAACTTCTTTCTTCCCTCATTATCTTTTTATTTCAATGCTTCTGCTATGAGTTATGCCCACACAAATTTCAAACCCCTGACGGTTTATCATAAAAACCAAAAAACAAAAAAAATTAGGGAAAAGCTCTCCAAAGGCCCTCACAACAATTTTAATTATCCTAAAGTCCAACCAATTGTACAAATGCTTATAGATCCCTGGGGCACTTAGGTGTAATTAATTATTCTGTAAAATGACCGAAAAGCCATGAAGAACGAGAAGAATCTGATCCTCGCAAAAGCACATTTCCGACGGCCATGAAGAAGGAGATCATTTCACTTTGGAAAGGCTTCCATTACTGTAAACATTACTCTGATCCTCCACTCTTTCCCTCTAATGTTTCCCTGAACGCTCCCATCTTTGATCACCGCCGCTAGCCTTCCATCCCCTCCGAGCTTCTCCATGATGGTTTTCTCAAGGACAAGTCCATCGATCAAACTCCTCCTTCACTAGCAGCCGACATTGCGATGGTTTACAGCCAGTTCTATGGTTCTATCTTCGTGGATGGCAGTCGTCATCATCATCATCATCAGGTGCCGGAGAGATCTCCTACTGCATCATTTCTCCGTCTTGTTCTTCACGGCTTTTTGGTCATTCCCCAGGCATTTGGGCAATTCGTGGGACTTTAGGGTAACTTCAATTGTTGTGGGAACTTTGGAGAGATTTTCGCAAATAATTTTTTTTTCCTCTCTCAGAGGTCCTCACCAGTCACCAAACTATATGGTGACTTTTTTCATAAAAAAAGATAAGTTCTCCACCATGTGTAATATTTGTGGAAAAATGATACATATAATTATCCCTTTTTTTGAGTAAATTTTTTTGGGCCCCTCTCAATTATGTAAGTGTAATTTTAATTTGATGTCTTCTAGGTAATTTATCTCAGTTTAGTTTTTCATAATCAAATTCAAAACTAGAATAAGTCCTATGATTTACACAAAATGTAAGAAGCGAATATGTAAACCATAAATAGAAAAATCTATTGTTCAAATTTCATGTAATATGCGAGAAATATGTATAATTTTATATGGGCTCTTAATATGCATTTTTACACTTACATTGCACTTGGATAGATGAATTTAGATTGAGAATTTAGATTTAAAATCTCACATTTAACATTCATAAATTTTAAATTCTTTATTTGGATGAATAAAAAATTTTAAATTATAATATTAAAATACTTCATTTGGATTTTAAATAAATTTTTAAAATTTAAATTTTATGTTTGAATTTAAAGGCAATTCAAACAATATTGATTGTCCAGTCTTGATTAGGGGTGGCAACCCAATCTCAATCAACTCCAACCATCCAAACCTACATGATGTCAGTGGTTCAATCTCGATCAACATTGACAATTTGGTCCTAGTCAACATTGGTTGTCTAAACCTAGACAACACCTGAGGATTAGCACGGGACAATTACAATAGTCTAAGGGTTGCAAATTAGAATTAGATGACAACACAAGAATGTTCTCAATTCCAATTGTTGTAGATGATTCGATCCCAATTATCATCGACGGTCCAATCTCAATCATCACTGGTAATCTAGTCTTAATCAAAACCAGTCATTTAATCCTAGTACGTGCTGGTTGTCTTGTCTTGATCATCCAAGGTGGTTTGGTCCTTGTCAGCATTGGCTGACTTGTCTTGATTAAAGTTGGCAGTCCAGTCTTAGACATCACCAAAGGTCCAGTCCTCGTCATTACTAGTAGTTTGGTCCTTGTTGGCACCAACCATCGGATCACAATCAAAGTTGACAGTAGGAGTGTTCAAGATGTACCCGGTCCGACTGACCCGTACCGGCTCGTGCTCGTCCCGATCATATTAGGACGAGTCTGTCCCAGCCTGAAAAAATTTAGGACGAGACTTTTTCAGGATAGGGAAAAAATAAGGATAGGACGGGACGGGACACGGGCCATCCATCGGGACGTCCCGTCCCGTTTATTTAGTGTATATATATATATATATTTTAAATTTAACTATATTTATTTATTTTAATTAAATTGATTATTTGATTTTTAATGTTATTTTTAGCTTTTCTGAGACAGACACGCGGCACGGCAGCAGAGAGACCATTTTGATTTTTGAAGTTCCTTTTCCCTTTCCAGTTTCCAGATCCAGATCCCTCCGCCTCCGCCATTCCAAAGCTCAGTTCAGTTTCCATCTTTCCTTCCATTCCAAAGCTCCAAGCCTCCAACTCCAACTCCAAAGATCCCTCCGCCGCAGATCAGTCGCCCAGCCACAGAGACAAAGCAGAGTAGCATACCTTCGATCCTTCAGTTAC